CCAAAAAAAAAATTTTAAAAGGATCCCCTGTCGCCAAATTTAAAAAAAACAAAATTAAAAACTTTACAGGGGAAGGAAAAAAGGGGGGGTTTCCCCTTCGAAAGTGGAAAAAAGGGGGTTTTTAGGTTTGGGGTTTCCAAGGGCCGGAAAAATTTTCCCCCAAAGCGGCCTTGAGGGGGGTGGGGGTTTTCCACCCCAGGAGGTCGAAAATTTGGAGTTTCGAATTTTGATATTGGGAAACCCCCATGCCGGTCTGTAAAAGTTGGGGGGCGGGAAAATAGAAGGGATAAGGACCCCGAGGAAAATTTTAAAAATTTAGCAAAAAAATTTAAATTTTTTCCGGGAAGGGAAGGGGGGGTCTCCTAAAATTTTTTTAAAGAGGGGTAAAGGAGTTTTGGGTGGGGAGGGTTTGGATTACAACTCTACTTTTTAATGGAGCAATGGAAGAATGATATTGGGGATGGTGTTGGAGTGTGAAAGGAAAATATTTTTTGGGGATTCCCTTTTTTTGTCACTTGCCTAAAAAGGGAAGAAAAGCCCCCTTTTTAAAAATTATTTTTTAAATTTAATATTTTTTTTTTATAAAATTTTTTTAAATTTTTATTTTAAACCCTTAAAAATTATATTTTTTTTTTTTTTTTCTTTTTTTTTTTTTTTTTTTTCCCCCTTGTGGGGAAAACCCCACGGAAAAACAAAAATTTAAATTTTAAATTTTTTTTTAAAAAAAAAATTTTTTTTTTTTGGTGGGCCCCAAAGGGGAAAAAAAAAGAAAAAAATCCCCAAAAAGAAAAATCTTTCATCATCATTCAACACTTTAAACCACACTCGCACATTATCATGTTTTTGCAGAGGTGCTAAATACAACAGTCTAGAAGCAAAACACATATAAAGATACACAACATATCCCTCCAAATGCCAATACCCCAAACCCCCCTTTAAAGTGCAGGCATTGTATTTTCCCTTTTCCAGGGACCCCCAAGTCCGACATATGAAAAAACCCCGGGTTTCCCTAAACCCCCCTTCACAAAAATATTACCCTGCCACACTCCAACAGATCGTCAGGCCCCAAAATCCCATTCGTCTCCATTCACTCCTACAAAACACGCTCCGCACGTTTTTGCTGGAAACCCAAAGCCCCTTACCCACAAAACCCCTTTTTACCCCCTCTCTCCCACCCTTTCGAGACGACCCCCTACCCCGCCCTTCCCCCTATAGATTTATATGCTTCCCATGTCATTCTACTGTATCCATTCTCTCTAAATGACCAAACCACCTCAACAAACCCCTCTTCTGCCCTCTGACTAATACTTTTTTTTTAAAACTCCACACCCTTCCCCCAAATTCCACACTCCAAATTTTTTGCTAATTTTACCCCAACATTCCCCTTAGGAAGGGACATCTCCGCGCCTCCAAACCTCTCCTGCTGCTGCATTTACCACCCAAGTTCCCACCCATATAAGATTTGGGTTACTATAACTTTTCATACATTCCCTTTTTTGCCTCCAAAGATAACTTTTTTTTGACTCCACAAAACCTCAACCCCACCACCACCTTTTTTCCCTCATCAATTAAAATGATTAACCCATCCCTAAATCCATCCGCCACAGTAAACCCCCAAAGTATCTGAAAACATTCATTTTCTTCCAACCCCTCCCCCAATTTGAACCAATTTTTCTTTATCAAATCATTTGACACCCCACCCCTTATCTTTTCTATTTCCTTTCAATTTTCTCCCTTTAAACCACCCCCAAACCCCCTTTCCATAACCTTTGAATTTTTCTTTAGAATCTCCCATAAGCACAGTATCATCAGCAAAAGTAACTGTTCAATTCCCATTTTGAATTTGATTCCCCAAAATTTTAAAATCCCACCCCCTCCCAAAACACCCACATTTATTTCCCTTTTTACCCCCCCATCTATAAATTATTAAAAAAACCATGGTGACATTACACATCCCGTCTAAGACCATTTTTAAAACCGGGAAATAGTCTCCCTCTCTTCAAAACAAACCCAACCCTGAGCCTACATCCTCATAAAAACTCTTTAAAACAGCTTTTAAAACTTCCACCTTTTCCCATATATTTGCAACTTTGCCACATTGCTCCTCTATCCACTCTAATATGCCTTTTCTAAATCCAAAAATGCAATAAAAACCTCCCTATCTTTATTAAATACTGTTCACATATATGCTTCAATGAAAAACACCTGATCACACACCCCCCTACCCACTCAAAACCTCTTGCTCACCCAATCCTACATTCTGTCTTACCTCAATTTTTCAATTAAAAACCCAAACCCACTTTTCCTGTTTACTCAGAAACTTTTTTCCCTGAATTTTTACGTCTCTTTTGTCCCCTTTCCTTTTTTAAAAAGGGGACATACATGCTCCCCCCAATCCCTATCCCTTTCCCCCCTCTTTCATCATTATTAAACAAAAGCCAACCACCCCAAACACTAAAAATCCCCCCCTTTTTTAACATTTTGTCATACCCCCATCATTTCCACTGTTTTAAAACCCCCTTTCTTTTACGTAATGCCCACAACCTCCCCCACACTTTACTTTCTGCTCTTTTTCCTCAAAAATGGTATCCCCTCCCTGACCATCATGAAATTACTGCCTCTGTTTTTTCCCTTAAAAATTTAAAATTTCCCTTTAAAAATTTTCTCGCCACTACCCAATTCCTCCATTCCCCATCTACTAAACTCCCCTACTCGTTTTTAACTGACAAATCCTTTTTTTTCCCTAGGCTTTTTTAAAACTTTTTAACTCCCCCTCCAAAATTTTTTCTTATTTTCTTTAAAATTTCTTGACATCCCTCTCCCACTCTATCATCTCTCTCCTTTTGCATCTCTCACCACTCTCTTTACCTTTCTTTTACTCTCCATATACTCGCCTTTTATAAACTTCTGCTTTGAAAAAACCCTCATAAGCTACCTTTTTCTTTTTTCACCCCTTTTTTTCATCATTCCACCAAATCACCCCTTTTTCCCTCCTCCCCCCACCCCCTAAACCCCACAAACTTCTGCCCCCATTCAATACTGGCTTTTTTAAAAAACTATTCCAACCCTTTCAACCCCCCCCTCTCATCTTTGCACTCCCACCTTTCTCCCCAATAGTCCCGCTTAATCTCCCCCCAAACTTCCTCCCCCCTTGTTTTACACTTCACCCCCCTTTACTTGTTGTTGCCACCTTCCTCTTTTCCCCCATTCCTCTTACCAACTTAGCTAAACAAAAAAATGACCCGTATTTCGTTGCCCCCTAAAACAGTACATCCTGGAGCCTACCCATCAACCTTTTAATCCACCAAACAAAAATCAAATAAACATTTTCATTACTGCTAATCATACCTTTATATTTATTTATATATAAATTATATATTATAAAATTTTTAGTATATGTTTTATGTGTGTGTGTATATATAATATATATAAATATATATATATTATTTATATTTTTTAAATAAAATATAAAAATAATATATATATTTTTAAAAATATAAATATAAAATAGCAAAACAACCATCTGAAAGAATAAGAAAATTCCAAGCGCTTTCGGACACTCACATTACAAGGAACTATATTTTCCTTTGATAATGGAAGTCACAAAAGCGTTTGGAATTTCTCATTTTTTCAGAGTGGTTTTTTTTGCATTTTTGAAATCCCCGTTCACTGTGATCTTATTGCTTTAAAATTTAAATAATTTTTTTTTTTTTTTTTTCTTTTTTTCCCCCCGAAAAACGGGACAATATGAAAACATTTTACACACAGCCAAATTGAAAAAATGCTTAACTTTTACTCTGTCCAAACGGATCTACGTTCACTTGTGTAGCGCTTTGAACGTTGATCTATTTTTTATTTTACATGTTTTGAATTAAAAAAAATGTAGATCCATTTTGGACGGGGTTTAAGGTTAAAGCCACGTTTTGACCTATTTTTTTTTAACTTAAGATAATCCCCTTTAAAACAAAAAAAAGAGATAGTTTTAAAATAATGGCTGTCTTTTTCCCTCTGATTTCTTCATTGGGGCAACCCCCCTTAACACTCACAAATTATCAAAACTCTATAACTCTCAATGAAAGCTATTACCCAGGATTTTTTACATTTGGGGGGAGAATTGATCCAACAAACACTGTTTTATAATGACCATTTTCTGTTTTAGAGAAAAAGATTTTTCACCTAAAAAAAAAATGACTATAGTTCAGCGTTTTTTAAAACCTTTTTTGGAAGAATTTTTTAAAATTGTTTAAAAAACGCCCCAGGGGGGACTAGTTTTTATC